GTCAACTCGCTTCCTGCTTCTCTAGCATTCCTGGAGACTTTCTAGGACCTTTTGTCTATGGTTTCAACCTTTCCAGGCAAGACAGTTAGGGTTAAGTCCCAAGACTTTCAGGCAACCGTCTGCTTTTGACACGACCTGCCTGTTTCTCTTCAGCTAACTCTTGCTTACTTTGGTTCAGGCCTCAGGCCTTACACCAGGCCCATGCTTCAGGCCCATCCTTTCTAGTACAGGATGTAGCCTGGTAACAAAGCCCTGACTGTGGTATCAGGAAACCTGGGTTCTATTCCTGCCTCTCCCACAGGTTGGAGAGGTTATTCCCTGTCTGTAAAATAAGACTAATGATACTAACCTTCCGAGCCCCACAACTTCTCTGATCACCCTCTAGTTCCCTGCACTGAAAAGGTTGCTGGTGAGTGAATCTTTCATCACTGCCTGGTTTTAAACCAGCTACGGTGCTTTTTAGACTGTGGGCTAATCCGAGAAGGGAACCCTGCGTGTCCCACAGTGGTAATGTGTAAATGCTAGCAGCTGGTTTGACCTTTCGGCTTCTAATTATTATTTTGGTCAATTCGATCTGTATTTGGATGGGGTTTCCTGAGTGCTTGCTTCTGGACCGTCCGCTGTATTTTGGTCATGGTTGCTCCGGTGTCAAGCCGGTGTCGTTCCACCAAAGTGAATTTACACAGCTGTAACTGGTCCGTGAGATAATCGGTGCGTCCACACGCAGATTTGCACCAAAAGAACCAAAGGTGCGAATTGCAACCAGTTTAGTTATTCCAGGGCCTGTTAATCTTAAGACAGGCTCTGACTTCACAGCGGGGTAGAGGATAAATCATTAATGCTTGGAAGCTTTCTGATCCTATAGTGGTGAGGGCCTTACTGTTATCCAAACTGCTCCTAAATACTTGGCTACCTATGGCAAACCCTTCTGGGACCGTAGCTGTCAGCGTGCTGATGGGGGGTGCCACCTCAGTTTCAGCACAGCAATCCAGCAGCTGCAGCCCCGGGGATAGGAGCTTATTGCTTTATTTGAAACGTGTTTAAACTTAGCCCAACAAGTGCCTGAAAAAGAAACCGGGGTAAAGCAGGGTGAGGGGGGTGTTTGGACCGGTGCTTTCTGAGGCAGAAGCAGTTACTGATATACCACCATGCACATGCTCCGGGCTGGCCAACAGGAAACGTGTCTCAAAAGATAAAACCTGCGAGGCAACGCTCACTGGTTTTATTTTATTTGCATTCAGTGTCGTGGGTTTTTTCCCTCTGGGTGCAGATCTGTAACCTACCTCCTAGTTATTCATGTGTTTATGGGGATTTTATGATCAGGGCGGGGGGAAGGGGAGGGCTTGTCTCCCTGGGTTTCCATTTCTCGTTCTGTTTTTTTCAGGGCCTAAAATGGAAATCAATAATAATAAGTACAAATGCAGCACTTTTTGGAGGGGGGGTCCCATAAAATCGAACAGAGGACTCCTGCAAAGACAGAGCAAGAGTATTTTTTCACATGTTCCGCTCCAGCAGTATTTACTTTCGGCGCCCCCTTGTTGCGTGAAACGCCTCCGTTTTACTCTTAATTGCGAGCGCGTTCATTCCTGCGCCCTGCAAACTCAGCTGGCATTTCCCATTGAAATCGATGCACTGCGGACAGGAGAAAAGGGATTATTCTAGGAAGTGATGGGAAAGTGTGATCTATTGGAGTCATGTTCAAAGTCTTCTCCCCCCTCTCCCCGCCACAGGCCACTGCATGTCTGTCATTTCTGGGCATCCGTCAGAGGGTCTATTTTCTTTCCAACTAGCCTCCGAAAGAAGAGGTGCACTGACGAGCCAGCTTGTGCGATTTAAAGCAATTAAGGAAAATTATGTGCCGACCACTCAAGGTGCTGTCAAGGCGAGAAATCATGGCGCGCAGTCATTCGCCGCTACTGGAGGCATTAGGAAATGCTAATAGCACAGGTAGGGTCAGAACTGATGTAAATTTCAACCTTCTCAGTTCGGCTTTCAAGGGTTTTGCAGAGCGGGGTGTGTGAGCGTGGTGGTGAGTCAGCTGCCAAAGCCCTGGGGAGCTTTGCAGTCCCTTTTGCTCCTCTCCTGGGCCCTGCCCTCAGGTCGCTGCTTGTCAGGGCGGAGCTGTGTGTCATGTCGGGCCAACCGCTCACTGGCGCATGAGAGTGGGCGGGGATGGGGTGAGAGGACAGGGAGGTGGGAGATTACTTTTATTTTCAATAGAAAGTACCCAGGGAAGGTGTGAGACTGACCGCCCGGGGGCCTGACGGCACAGGGCCAGCAACAGTGCACACTTCTGCCGTGCTTTCTCCTGCACCAGGCCTATACGAGCCCCCGTGGTGAAGGGAGGAGCGGGAGGACTGGCTCTTCAGCCTGCTGTGCCTGTAGGATTAAATGTTGCCTTCTATTGAGGAAATCTTCATCCTCTCTGATGGAACGTAGGGTCAATACTCAAGTCCTCTAATTTTTTCTTCCAAAATGATGACCAGTTTGCACTTAGTACAGCTGAAATCCCTTCTTTCTTCCGGGAGGAAGACAAACATGGCACGTGCTGTGCAGATAACAACAGCAGACCTATCATCATCTATATCTGCCTTGCTTCTGAGAGATTCCTCAGATGTTATTAAATGCCTTCTTGAAGGGGAGGAGTGTAGTGAAACGATTTTAAAGAATGGTGAGTGTATCTTACCCCCTTCCCACTCCCTCTCGCATGTGCAGGTAACAGCAGCAGAGCTATCACCATCCATACCTGCCTTCCTCCTGAGAGATTCCTCAGTCGTTATTAAATGCCTCCTTGAAGGGCAGGAGTGTAGTGAAAAGATGTTAAAGAATGGTGATTGTATCTCACCCCCGTCCCAACTCCCTCTCCAAACTCCCTGTTAACAGCTCCTGTTCACAAGTTCTCTGGTCACTGACTCACTCCTTTACAAAGCCCTGGACTGCCTGATAGCCCCTCCCCCTGATTAAATGAATGGAGATGCCTATCTTCTAGAACTGGAAGGGACCTTGAAAGGTCATCGAGTCCAGTCCCCTGCCTTCACAGCAGGACCAAGTACCATTTGATTAAGGCTCAACCAATCAGCAGAGGTTTCTAGATTTCTGATTAGAAGCTCACAGCTTCCACATGCCAGCCATAGCACACACTCCATGGAGGGCGAGGAGAAGGGGAAGGGGAAAGAAAAAACAACAACAACCAAACAGCCAAACACAAGCTCAGCACACAGCAAGAAAAACACAAACACACACCACAGACAGACCACTTCCCTTAAGGGTCCTATATTATCTTCCTCCTTTATCTGGAGAACTCCCTCTCCAAATTCCCTGTTCGCAAGCTCTCTAGTCACTGACTCCTTTATAAAGACCTGGGCTGCCTGATAGCACCTCCCCCTGATTAAGACTCAACCAATCAGCAGAGGTTTCTAGATTTCAAACCTTGATTAGAAGCTCACAGCTTCCACCTGTCAGCCATAGCACACAGTCTGGCTGTGTCTACATTTGCAAGATTTAGCGCAAAAGCAGGTGCTTTTCTGCAAAATCTTCCCGCCTGTCTACACTGGCCGCAAGAACACTGACGTTCTACTGTATGAAATCAGTGCTTCTTGCGCAAATGCTCTGATGCTCCCGCTCAGGGATAAGTCCTCTTGCGCAAGTGTCCTTGTGCAAGAGGCCAGCGAACATAAGAACATAAGAACGGCTGGACTGGGTCAGACCAAAGGTCCATCTAGCCCAGTATCCTGTCTGCCCACAGTGGCCAGCACCAAGTGCCCCAGCGAGGGTGGACCGAAGACAATGATCAAGCGATTTGTCTCCTGCCATCCCTCTCCAGCCTCTGACAAACAGAGGCCAGGGTCACCATTTCTATCCCCTGGCAAATAGCCTTTTATGGACCTAACCTCCATGAAATTATCCAGCTTCTCTTTAAACTCTGTTATAGTCCTAGCCTTCACAGCCTCCTCTGGCAAGGAGTTCCACAGGTTGACTACACGCTGTGTGAAGAGAACTTTATGTTATTAGTTTTAAACCTGCTACCCATTAATTTCATTTGGTGTCCTCTAGTTCTTCTATTATGGGAACTAATAAATAACTTTTCTTTATCCACCCTCTCCATACCACTCATAATTTTATATACTTCTATCATATCCCCCTTCAGTCTCCTCTTTTCTAAACTGAAAAGTCCCAGTCACTTTAACCTCTCTTCAAAGACAGTATAGACAGGTAACCTCAATTTCTTGCGCAAGAAAGCCCAATGGCTAAAATGGCCATCAGAGCTTTCTTGCGCAAGAGAACGTCTACACTGTCACGGATGCTTTTGCGTAAAAGCAAATCTTTTGCGCAAAGGCACATGCCAGTATAGACTCTCTCTTACTCAAATACTCTAACGCAAACACTCTTGCGTGTATAGAGTATTTGTGCTAAATCTTGCCAGTCTTGATGTAGCCTCTGTGTGTGTGTTGGGGGGGAGGAAGGAGAGGGAGGAAGGGGAAAAAAAAAAAAAACCAAACAGACAAACACAAGCTCAACACACAGCAAGAAAAACACAAACACACACTACAGACAGACCACTTCCCTTAAGGGTGCTGTATTATCTTCCTCCTTTATCTGGAGAACTCCCCCTCCAAACTCCCTGTTAACAGGTCCTGTTCGCAAGCTCCTGTCGTCCCTCCCCACTACTCCCCATCTCACCATTCACGGGCGTTTGTTTTAGTCGTTGGGTGCTTTCCGCCTTCCGGTTTCATTGTGCACCATGGATGTGTGCCTATCACTTGATGGGGACTTATGAGTCCTGGACACCTGCTATTTTTTTCAGTGGATGCTTAAGCCGTACAGCACCCATGGATCTACCTGTCTCTCTGCGTCCTGGTCTTATAGGCATTGTCTGGCATTTCCAGTGGCACCAGTGTGTGTCTGATCATATAAGAGTCTCACAGGGAGAGTGGGGCTGACTTCTGACAGTCCACCCTTGCCAACCTTTTTTGCCTTAACTGTACATCTTGTCTCTCTAGGAAGAAGATGATCTACAAAAGCGTCTGCCTGTCCTTTGTACTGGTGATCATGGTGACAGTGCTGCAGAGGGGCACGGCTCCAAGCCATTTCCTGCCGGGCCAGCCGCAGAAAGAACCCCCCCAGGAGCCCGTGAAAGCTCAGAAGAGAGATGGCGTCTTCTCCAAGACCGGCAACTTCTGGAAGAGCAGGAAGGAGAAGGCCCACCCGGAGGCGGACACCGAGACCCAGGTGAAATCTTGGGATGTCACCACTACCAACTGCACGGCCAACCAGAACATCAGCAAGATGGACTGGTTTAAAGGGCTAGAGCCCCACTTCCGGCAGTTCCTGCTTTACCGCCACTGCAGATACTTCCCCATGCTGATCAACCACCCGGAGAAGTGCAGCGGTGACATACATCTGCTGATCGTGGTCAAGTCCATCATCACGCAGCACGACCGGCGGGAGGCCATCCGAAGGACCTGGGGCCAGGAGAAGGAGGTGGATGGGAAAAGGATCAAGACACTTTTCCTGCTGGGCACAGCCTCCAAGGAGGAGGAGAGGGCCAACTACCAGAAGCTGCTGGATTACGAGAACCACATCTACCGGGACATTCTGCAGTGGGATTTCTTGGACAGCTTCTTCAACCTCACCCTCAAGGAGGTCCATTTCTTGAAGTGGCTGAACATCTACTGCGACAGCGTTCGCTACATCTTCAAGGGGGATGACGACGTCTTCGTTAGCCCCGGCAACATCCTGGAGTTCCTGGAGAGCAAGAAGGAAGGAGACCTCTTTGTGGGGGACGTCCTGAACAAGGCCAGGCCTATCCGGAAGAAAGAGAACAAGTACTACATCCCCAGTGCCCTCTATAACAAGAGCAACTACCCACCCTACGCGGGGGGTGGAGGTTTCCTCATGGACGGGCCCCTGGCGGTGAAGCTCCACAAGATCTCGGAGACCTTGGAGCTGTATCCCATTGACGACGTCTTCCTGGGGATGTGCCTGGAGATTCTCAAAGTGGCGCCCATCAGACATGAGGGCTTCAAGACCTTTGGCATCGTGAAGAACAAGAACAGCAAGATGAACAAGGAGCCCTGTTTCTTCCGGGACATGATGGTGGTTCACAAACTCTTGCCCACGGAGCTGCTCCAGATGTGGGACTTGGTCCACAGTAACTTAACCTGCTCCAGAAAAGTTAACGTCCTTTAGCGTGGCCTCCCAGAGGAGCCGTGGCTGGAAAGGCTGGAGCAATTGGTACCTTGGCCTGGAGGGCGAGAATAAGGAACCTAGAACCAGATGAAGGCAACAAACTCTGTAGGAGCTATTCCAGAACCTTCCCTTCCAGCGACAAGAGGACAGAGATTGCGTTATGTGGAGGGAAGGTTTCTAATGGGGTATTTTGTACTGTATTTGTGGTTTTTTTGTTTATCTCCAACTGGGTTGGGGATCACGGGAAAAGAAAAGGGAAAATAAGATAGAATGGAGATTATCTTGGGGAAATTTCCAGGTGCCACATTTCAGGAGAGATGTGGACAAATTTTGAAAAAATCCAGGGGAGAGCAACAAAAATGATAAAAAGTCTAGAACACATTACCAGTGAGGGAAGGTTGAAAAAAATGGGGTTTGTTTAGGCTGGAGAAGTCTGAGAGGGGACATGACAGTAGTATTTCAAGTACAGGCAGTCCCCGGGTTACATGGATCCGACTTACATCGGATCCCTACTTACAAATGGGGTGAGGCAACCCCGCACTAGCTGCTTCCCCCCAGCAGACCAGGGAGACGCGAAGCTAGCGCCCCCCCCAGCAGACTAGGGAGACGCGGAGCGGCTTTTCTCAGCAGACACCTCAGCTTGAGAATAAAGGACTGAGGGAAGTGAGGTGTGGGAGAATAAAGCTGAGCTCTGGAGAAATGTTTGGCTAGAGTTTCCCCTACAATATGTACCAGTTCCGACTTACATACAAATTCAACTTAAGAACAAACCTACAGTCCCTATCTTGTACGTAACCCGGGGACTGCCTGTACATAAAAAGTTGTTACAAGGAGGAGGGAGAAAAATTGTTTTTGACCTCTGAGGATAGGACAAGAAGCAAGGGGCTTAAACTGCAGCAAGGGAGTTTTAGGTTGGACATTAGGAAAAACTTCCTCACTGTGATAGAATCATAGAACACTAAAACTGGAAGGGACCGTGAGAGGTCACTGAGTCCAGTCGCGTACCCTCATGGCAGGACCTGTTACCCTCTAGACCATCCCTGAGAGATGTCTGTCTAACCTGCTCTTAAATATCTCCAGTCAGGGTGGGACTGGAATACATTGCTTAAGGAGGTTGTGGAATCTCCATCACTGGAGATTTTTAAGAGCAGGTTGCAGAAAATCCCATCTTGGATGGTCCAGCTAATCCGGCTGTGAGTGTAGGGGATTGGGCTAGATGACCTCTCAAGCGCTCTTCCTACAATCCCTGGGGTTGTGCAGCCTGGGGTGGGGGTGTGGCAGCATGTGGCACAGGTATTTATTTTGCTGCCTCTTGGAGAAGGAAAGAGAAATCTTCCGTTTGTTTTTCTTGTGTCTGGACTGTTCCAAAGCGAGGCTGGTGGGAGGCCTGGGCTGGGCAGGAGCACATGGTACGTTGGGTGCAAGGGGCTGGGATGGGCTTCCTTCTCTGAAGCTGAAGCAAGTGAGCGGAGCTGGGAGGCCCTGGGGATGGAGGGGCCCCCAGACAGGCTGCAGCCTTCATGCCAGGCCGCCGAAGCACCCGCAGAGCGCAGGCTCATGGAACGCTCAGCTCTGCTCCAGACTGGGGTTTGCTGTTGAGTGGCAGCTGGCTCTGTGGGCACCCATGGGTGTGGTAAGGCCAGGCAGGGGCGGCGGGTACGCTAGGCAGGGGGAGGCGTTGCCTTCCCAAACTACCAGCTTGGCTCCGCCCACACTCCGCCCCCTAGAACGCCTGCTGTAGGCAGTCTGGGGATGGCAGGAGGGCTTAGTGTGCTCCTGGCTCACGAGCTTTGTGGTATCAGCTCTACAGCGGCTCTTCGTTTCCCTCCCTGGGCCAGCGACCAGGCAATGTTGGGGTTCACCCCGGGAGTGCCCATCAGCACCCCAAGAACATGTGGCTTTGACAGGTCACCTGCTAACACTCCAGCAGGCAGCATGGCCCCAGAAAAAGCAACATCCGTGGGCAGAGGTACACGCGGGTCCCCGCACGCCCTCACTTCCCTGCTCCAGTGACACAGCAACGTCTATGCAGCCCTGGGGACGCAAACCTGCCTGTGCACAGACCCATGGTGAGGTGCACGTTATACAGACGTGCACAGGCCCGGGTCACACATGTTTACACGCCTACCTACACACAGGCATGTTCATGCCCATCCCCTGGTCTCCGCAAAGACACCAGCGTGAGCCTAGCGCCTTGCTGCAGACACCCAAGAACATACCAAGAACATACCAAGACATACCAAGAACATACCAAGACACCCAAGAACATACCAAGACACACACACTGCTGGGCAGGCACGCAGCCCTACCCATGCCCCGAGCCTGCAGCGAGACGTGCCATTTCTCCCTGGTGCGAGCCACTGCAAGGAAGTTACTCATCCTACCTCAAAGGGCTGCGGGGTAGCACCTTTTGAATGTGCCCTGGAAATGTGCCAGTTTCATTCACGCCAAGGCTGTAGGTTCCCCAGACTAGAAAACAAACAAGAAAGGGGGCAAGCCAGCCAAAACAGCCAGCGCCATGCCAGGCCTCACCACTTACCCTCGGCTTGTGCCTGCCTTCTCCGCCGACGCCTCGCACGTTTGGAAAGGGGCGGGGGAGAAGGCGGGAAATCCAGCGCTGTTCATTTGGGAAGTAGACGACCAAGCAGCCAGCCTGCTGGGATTGGGGGGGTGGAAAAGTTTAACTTTGTTACTGTGAACTTTTATTTAATGAGATTGCTGGGGGGGAGAGGGGGAGAAAAGGGGCTGGACATCGTAGCTCTGGTGTGCAAGCACGTTGCTTGTTCAGCGGGACTTACAGGCCAGGGCTCATCTCCTCCGCATCTACCCGCAGCGTCCAGAACCCGCCTCACATGAGCGCGACTGACTCTGACATGCCCGTGTGCACACTCTATATGTCTGGGTCCTGTGTCTGTGTTTATTTTTGGTGTCTATGCTAGACAGCTGTATTTCGTGGGCATGTGGAAGGAGATAGTGACACTTCAGGGTTGCGTTTTGCCATGGTGGGAGCTGTGCAGATCCAGGGGGTAGGGTGGAGGATTATTTTAGTTTCTCAATAAAGGTTTGGTTGTTTGTTTTTTTAAAATTGCTGGCGGTCATTCTTAGCAGCTGGGGTTCTGTGGGGGTGAGCCTGTGGGTGAGGCTCAAGGGAGAGAGACTTTTGCCTGAAGTTAGATGATGGCCCTGGAGAACTGATCGCCGACCTCTGGTCTTGGCATGGTGATGTTTTGGTTCTGCCCAGGATAGCCTGTCTAGGTTACTCTCTGACCTGGAGGAGTGTGGTGTCCAAGCCCAAGGCCTGGCCAGAGCACCTGAGGCAGGGAGCTCAAAGGACGCCCCCATGCCGCCTTGCTTGGGTCAAAACTTTGAAAGGTGTCATCTGGGATCGGCCCTTGTGCGCCCATACCCCCTCAGACTGCAGTGTAGACATACCCTCCCCTAGCACACAGCGGGACGAATGCGGAATACATTTTATCGGGACCGAAGTCTGTGTGGATGTGCACCAAACACAGGCTGCCAGCTTTGGGTCTCTGCGGGTGCTTTGCCAATCAGCGGGGGGCATTTGAA